CATGCAGGGCCAAACTCTGGCTCAGCTGTTTTCCAGGCACCAGAGTCCGAGAAGAAGCAGGGTATTGGAGACTCTAGAGCTGGTCCTTCCTCTGTCTAAGGTGATGTAAGCCTGTCCAAAACAATCTAAAACCACCTTTACTGTAAGTAAAGGTAAGTCCTCATTCAGCACGGTTAATATTCTTGGAAACTTTGATATTAAGCCAAATGAAGTATAATAAAAGAAGGTCCTCTAATAATGTCATTTTATTCTATAACTATCAGGCTTGTCCTTTTTTTTTTTTTCTCGTCAAGTTTATAACAAAATGACAATAAATGAAGCAAATCATTAAAGAACCTGCTCTGGTTTGTAAAATGGAACAGAAGCTACCAATCCAGCATGGACAGGATAAATTAATGTTTACTTGCTCAATACTTATGTTATTCAGCGGTTCTTACTTATTTCAGATTTCCCTTTGCTGAACGTGAAAGTAGTTAATACAGTATCTCAGTCGCTGCTTGCTGCCAGGTACTTCGGATGGTGGGTGGGTAATTATGATCACTTTTTAAGTTCCAGGACACACACAATTGCACAGTACTCAACTTCCAGGCACCGAACTGACTTTGTGTGGCTGTGACATCTATCAGCAGACATTTGATGTCACCAGACAGAAAGCATGGCTGTTCTTTCCTCACTGGCTGGCTTTGGAGCTACAGTGTTTTCTCTCTGGTTAGTGACAAAGAGGAGAATGAAGTCCTGTACCAGAGGCAGCCCCAACCTCAGACAGTCACAGATGAGAAGTCGACAGCTTGTAGAGAAACCAGTGGATGAAGAGTTGGATGAATGATCCAACTCTTACAACATCTCCTGCCTCACCTCTGTGGCTAGGGCTGAGCCAGTTTCTCGGTATGAGAGACCTGCCCTCTCATCAGGGTCAAATGGAGGGCTGCTTCCCATCGGTGTAACATCTGTCACATGCTGAGCACATTAAGAGCCCTCTGCCTGCTCCTTTCCTTCCGGGGCTGGGGATGTGACCCTTTGAGAGTCCCTGAGGTACAGTGTGCGCCTATGTCCTCGGCCTATGTTTCTGAAATGCCAACTTCCTAGAGGGCAGGGAGTGTGCCATTGAACTTTTCTGACAGGGAGCCCTGACAATGGGGAGGGGAGAACATGGTTGCTCACTGCCAGAATGGGAATGGCCAGTAGCCTGGGTCAGGCCTCGGCCTGGCTGCTACCACCCTGTCTCTTGGGTGGAGAACATGATTTCAGTTCCATGCCCTACCACCTGCTTTTTTTTCTTGTCACTCTGGATTTTGTCCCAGATCCTGGTCCTCTTAGCCAGTCCCTTTAGATTACTGCTGGACACAGTTGCTGGCTTCTTCAGCTTCCTCCTGTCCACAGACCCCTGGTACACTGCTTCCCCAGATGTGTGCACTGAAGCCCGCATCCCTGTGAATCCCGGCCCTCTGGGAGGTGCTTTCAGGAATGAAGATCTAGAAGGCATGGACACACAGTTGTGCCAGTGGCACATTTGTTTCTGAAATGCCAACTTTCTAGAGGGCAGGGAGTGTGCCATTGACCTTTTCTGACAGGGAGCCCTGACAATGGGGAGGGGAGAACATGGTTGCTCACTGCCAGAATGGGAATGGCCAGTAGCCTCATGGCACCTCTGTTCCAATAAGAGTCTGTGTTCACATGTGGGGGCCAGAAACTTCTTCCCTGTGGCCTGTGTAGATTTGCAAAGGTCTGTTCAGTACCCCACACTGCCAGTACCTCACAGCTGCCCTGTGACAGAGGCTGTCAGGGACCTGTTCCTACCAGGTGTCCTGTCACCACCTAAGACCCAGCAGGTCTAGACCTGAGCTCTGCAGCTGCCCAGAGAGCAGGCTGCAGCCCCAGAGCTTCTTCATCTCCGGCCCCAGGCTCCTGGGTTGTAGGTGTGATACAGCCTTGACTCATGTTTCACTTCACACCAACTCCCACGGGTCCACCCAGTGAATATTTGCCAAATACACACTCATCACTGGGCAGAGGGCCCGCCGGTCTTCCTTTATGGTCCATCTATTGCAGGGGGACAGAGCCTGGGCCCTTCAGGCCTGGTGCCTTCTAACTGCCCTTCTACCCTTCACCCTGCTAGTCAGTGCCAGATGGGCCCGGTCTGCTGAAATAGGAAATCCTTCTTTTCAGATTCTCTGTTAACACCTGAGGTCACTCGATTTGTTATACATCTGGGCCCCTGATGTAGTGGGTGTGATGGCCAAGCTGATCTCATTAATTGTCCCTGTCACACTTACGTGAATGCCATGAAAGGTTTGACTCATCACGAACAGCTGGATGCTCCCGTGTGATCTTGTCAACCGTTGTACTGTTTGCCAACTACATCCTGCCCGTACAAGCTTTTCTGCCTTTCAGGCCCTTCTCCCTCTGCCTAGAATGGCATTCTCTCCCCATTATCTTCTGAGAAAGCTCCTATTCGTCCTGCAAGACCCAGGGAAACCGCATACCGGTCTCTCCAGAATATCTGGCACCTGTGTTTGATAATTTGAGGCTTGGCTTCCTACCTCTGTCTTTTTCTTGGTCTGATGTGGCAGTATCTCCCCATTTCTCAGCACAGCAGCCTTCAGGCCATCACTTATTCACCAGGCACTTTGGTAGCCACTGGGGACATCAGGTGAAGAGAAGACAGTTTCCCCCCACCTCCAGAGGGTTGGCCGAGTTAGTGAGCAAGGAAATGCAGGTATGGGTGAGGTACTCTGCAACTGCCATAATCCGACAGGGCGGCTTTTGATGGAGGTGTGCAAGAAAGCCACCCTGAGAAGATACTTAGAGAGTAAATCTGTCGTGCAGAGATCCCAGGGAGTGGTGGGTATAAACTTACAGAGGAGGAAAGGTCCTGGAGACTTTGGAGACTAAGCAGGGGACTTGTGCTTGGCCAGTTGAGGGCATCAGTAGGGCTGGCCAGGCAGGATCCTGCCATGCCTCTTTCAAAGGTCACAGTCAGTTCGCATTTTTACTTCAGAACAGTGAGTCTTGAGGCGGGAGTATTTCAGGCTTTTATGCAGTCTGGCCAAACAGGGGTGAGGTGCCAATTTTCATCTGCTACCCTTTCTCTCATCTCCACCCAAACTTGCTCCGTCCAGGCCCTGGGGTTTACCCACCTGTTTGCTGTGTAGCTGCTTTGGGCTGCGTCTGGGCTTCTCTTCTCCCACCGAGTAAACCTGTTCTTTACTGTGGCCTTGCCTGACTCCTACCAGGCCCTGAAATGCCAGTGAGGCTCCTACCCCCGCTTACGCTCCCTTTCTTACCCCCTGGCCGATGGCGCAATCCTTTCGGACTGCGAAGGCCCAGTCTCTGTTTCTGGGCCTTCGTTGGCCTTGGCAACCATGAATCACTACGGAGTCCTCCCTGCTTCACACACGTAGCTGCATATCTCTTTGCTGTGTCTCCCTTCTCCTAGGTATCAGCTTCTCGGGCTTATCTGGGTTCTTTCTCCCCGTGCCGACCCCATTTTAAAGTTTCTGGCCTGATGAGTTATCCCGGCACAGATACATCCTGAGATTATCTCCTCACTTAAATCAGCAACAACAAACACTTTTGAGCAGTCTGTGCAAGCGAATCTACTAAGCATTTTCTGTGAAATATTAATTCCTCACTTAATGAGAATATCATTAGTTAGTTAGTTACTGTCATTGTTCCCCTTTTTCATGTTTGGGAACTGAGGCACAGAGATCACACAGTCCTTGGCATGACTGGGGTGCACCCAGACGATTTAATTCTCACTGCCTGGCACAGTCAGGGTGGCTCATTGCAGGCTTAAAATGCTTTTCCACACCATCTCTAGAGCCAGTTCTCCATGGCTGCTCATGTCCTTCTCGTCTCAGGTGCAGCTTCCCATTGAAGATGAGGAGAGGCCCTGAGAACCTTGTGTTCTCTGACTCTGACCTGTGCCATTCTGGGGTACGGGAGCGCTGCCTGGTTTGGCCCGAGCCCCTCTTCCCATTGGCACATGCACAAGTTTTGCTGGACGAGCAGCCAACTCTACTGCAGGTTTGCAGGTTTGGGCTAAGTCTCTTCTTAAGGTTACAAATGATGTTCTAAGTCCCTCCCTGCCACCCAAGGAGAGAGAAAGCAAGAAAAATAAGAGACCTCGGGAAGGACATGAGCAGCCATGGAGAACTGGCTCTGGAGATGGTGTGGAAAAGCAATTTAAGCCCGCAAAGAGCCACCCTGACTGTGCCAGTTGCCTGGGCTGGCAGCAGGGAGGCAGTTCCCACCACTCTTGACAGGACTCAGGAGAGGTTGTGCATTCAGCGGTCTCTGGACTATGTGACCTTGGGAAAGTCTTCAGCCCTGAGATGGTAGGATTCTGCACCTTGAATGGGGCCAAAATGGCAAGACACAGTGCCCCGGGCTTCTTCCAGGGTGTTCCCTCCAGCATACTCTCCCCAGTACAGTGCCCAAGCTGCCTTCCTCATGGGGCAGACTGGCCTGCTCCACAAGTCACCGTGGTGGTTGATTCCACTTTGTTCTGCATTTTAATTTTCCTTGAGCCTGGATCACAGCTCTAGGAAAGCATTTCTGGTGTGGCCCAAACAAGAAGAGACAGCTGACTGCTGCGCTGGAGGGCACATCCTGAGCGTCCTGTCCTGAGCGTCCTCAGCCTCTGCGAGGAAGCTCTCCCCAGGGCAGTGGAGTCCTCCCCAATGGTGGCTGGGGGCTTCTGGACCTGGGGTCTAGTGATGACAAGGCAGGGCAATTGCAGTCCCCTGCTGCGGGAGACTTTGGGGAGCCCCAGGGTCCTTGCATTACAAGCGTGAATGGGGTTCCTGTGTCAACACTTCATGGAAAAAGAGCGCTCGCACGTGGTGGGAGCAGGGGCCATGTGGCAGGGACCATGCGTCAGCTGCTTTGATTCTTACGAGAGCACATTGCATGATAATGAAATAAGAGGGCCTTGCGGTCTGTGTGCATAATCTGGAGCTCCCTGTAATTTCACCTTTGCTCTGCATTTGAATTTTCAGTAAGAGAAGGAGGAGACGAAGCAGGCGGGAAGAGGCATGGCTTCGGATGCCAGTCACGCGCTGGAAGCTGCCCTGGAGCAGATGGATGGCATCCTTGCAGGTACAGGCAGGGGGTGCCTATGTCTTGTCCTCACACACGGGCAACTTTTCTCTCATTTTACTTTTTTCACTGGCCCAAGAGAGGCCCCTCCTTAGACTTCATTTTACTGTGCATGCCATCTCTTTTTAAGAGCATGAGTATCACCTGCTTTGCAAAATTTCCCATTATGTCAGTTGCCTTTACAAAAGACCCACCTTTGTGCCTGTTTTCATTAACCAAAAAAAAGGCAAGGCCAAAAGTGAAAGATAGGCTCAGATATTTGCTTTGCAGCAGCTGTTACAGCACACACCTCAGGCAAGGTGACTCTGCCAGGCTCCCTCCCTGGCTGCCTCTACCATACAAACAGCCAGCAAAACATTCTTGCGTTTACCACACATTAGGGCTATTTTAGCTTTTATATGTTACTTGGTAGGACTTGGTAGCTTCTGTTTGGGTCTGGGAGCACTCAAAATTCTTTCCATTTAAATGAATGGCAAATGGTAACTACTTATTCACGTAGGCCGCTTGGTTTATGGGTTTCATAGGAACACGCTACTTTGGGATAGTGGGGGAGACCTGCATGAACTTGTAGAACAGCTTAGGTCTCTGTTGAGACAGAGTGGATGTACCCTCGGCTAGCGTGTGTGTGACTGTTTGGATCCTACCTGCAAGGCAGTTTGGGAGCAGGGAGATTGTAAAATTTTCAGAGTCTATTAGGGCTATGACAGTGAAACTTGAAAACCAGCAGACTTTGCCACCTAATGTAGGTGTCAAGTCACTTCTCAGTTGATGTCTGACCTGGAGTAGACTCGGGAGTCAGGTGGCAGTTTTACACTGACTCACCTAATCACCAAAAGAATGTTCTTGATTCCATAGTGTTTTATTTATCTCAACTGGCATAACATTCACATCAGCCAGTTAGGAACATTCTCTAGAAAAGACCCAGTGAAACTGGTTCATTGGAAAAGACTGCCAGCAGTCTCTTTGGATGATGGACTCTTTGATGGGGCAACAGGAAGCCCATATTGGTTAGAACAAGCCTGTCATTGAACATCTTCCCCAAAGGTCCGGGTCCTTTTCCGTCCTTACCTGACACAGGTCACTCACCTTATTTACTGATGGGGTGTGCTTCTTTGGGTCTTTGCACCTCATCGTGTGGCGCCTCCTTCTGCCCCCTAGTCCTTGGCTGAGGAGCAAGGGAACTAATGCCCTGAGTCAGAGTGCCTGACCTGTGGCTCTGATCTCAATGCATCAGCCTCTAAAAGGAAAGCTTAGAAATCCACTCTCTTGACTTCTTCCTCCACACAGAACATGGTGGACCCTAACTAGAACGGAATATTCCAATCTGTGGAACTTCTGAAAAATGGGACATTAGTCAAGGTCTCTCAGGGGCCTGTTGGAAGAGGGAGGTTTGGGCTGAGTGTGGCAGGGGCCCAGGACATGCATAGGGACCTGCACTGCTCCTTGTGGGCATTTGCTTGCTTTCCACACATGCTGCAGAGATAATGCTGAGTCACTGAGGAGTCTGGGTGTTTGCCCCTGGAGTGGGGCAGTTGTCTCTATATCAAAGCTTCTCCCTGTTATTAGTGACCCTGCAATATGCTCCAGCTGCCATCTGCCAGAGCTTAATTTCCCTGTGAACTGACAGGCCCCTGAGAGGCCTTGACTAATGTCCCGTTTTTTAGAAGTGCCACAGATTGGAATATCTCATTCTAGGTTAGGGTCCGTCATGTTCTGTTTGGAGGAAAAAATCAAGAGAGTGGATTTCTAAGCTTTCCTTTTACAGGCTGATGCACTGAGGTCAGAGCCACAGGTCAGGCACTCTGACTCAGGGCATTAGTTCTGCAACTCCCCAGCCAAGGACTAGGGGGCAGAAGGAGGGGGAGGGTGGCAAGGGAGGAGAAGGGTCCTTGGGCGAACACCATATTCCTAGATGGCTTGAGGGATGGATGCATAATGCCGAAAGAAGGTAGCTGTGCCAGTTCAGTCCCTCTCCCTGCCTTTTCTTTTCCCCACATAGACCTTCTTAACAGGACAAAGCCTCAGCAAAACCCCCTGTCTCTAGGAGGACTCTGTGGCTGGATCCTTGGGGCACAGGATCTGCAGGTGAAGATCTGGCTGGGTGTGGAGGCAGGGGCAGTGGGTGTGTGGACCCCAGGAGACTCATCCTTCTGGCTTCCAGCACAAAGAGCTCCCCACCTACAGCCATCTCCTTCATCCTCCAACCTGGCATGGTTCTTCTGGAAGGCTGCTCTGTCTGAAACTGATGTGAGAGTGCTGGGTGAAGAGCAGCATCTAAGAGGTTGCAAGCTTTCTTTGCAAAGTGGGAGGGAGGAGCCAGACTGCTTGGTTGGAGTCCTAGCTCTACGCAAATCATCAGTACTTGTTTGATCCATTCCTCAGTTTCCTCACTTAAAAGTGGAAATAATAGGAGTTTCCACCTGGGAATATTGCTGTGCTTATATTGCACATAGTAATCTCTATAAAATATTACCTCTTGATAAGTGAATGAGTGACAAGGAAATTTTCCTCATGTTAAGTCTTTTGAGAGACATAGATCCGTCTCTTATTCAGGCCCTTATTTCACCCATTTGAGATTTATGGTTTTCATTGTATAAGGCATGTCTCAGTAAATGACCCTAGGGTCTGTCAGATAGTCTTTGCTCCATTCTTCTGCTCCTTATAGACTGTCTTTCACAGAGTAGGAGAGTAATCCTTAAAGTATAAATCAAATCACCTCACTTCCCTAAAACTTGTTAATGAATCCCCATCTCATGATAAGTCCTCATCATGGCCAAGAGTGCATATGAATGCATTGGCTTTTGAATGCTGCTTTGGGGCTGCTTCTCCGCCCACCTTTCCCTCTGGCTTCTCTTGCTTTAGCCACCTGCACTGGCAGCCTCAGGACCTTTTCATTTGCTCTTCCCTCTGCTGGAATGCTGTTCTCCAGAAACACTCAGATCAGATCTCTCCTGAAACGTGACCATACCAGAGGGGCTCAGTCAGATAGCATCGTCCCCTCTCCCCACGTGGCTCCCTGCTCTTGAGTCCTGTTTATGTTCTTTCCAGCTCTCGCCACCACCTGGCTAATTACATTCATACTTGTTTTTGTGTTTTTTGTTTGCCTCCTGCCCCATGTTGAAGGAGGCTTTGCCAGCCTATTCTTGTGCTTCCATTGGTCTTCAGTGTGTGACAGGTGTTTAGTAAATATATATCACACATGCACTTTATTGACTTTTGTGACCAGGCTCTCCTGTTCATTGATCCAGAAGCAGTTATTGGTTTCTACACACGTGCTTTTGCTGGCCACCCACTGAACTTTATTTTGTATTTTCTCTGTTTGTGCCTTCCACTGGCTGATACTTTTGAAATAACACATCACCAATTTTTTAAAGACTCAGTTGTTCACACATCCTGCAAACCATCTTTTAAGTTTGAATGGTTTCATCTATAGGAGAAATTTAAGAGAACCAAAAAGACAGGGTGGGAAGGGAGTATATTTTTATTCCAGTACAACCTCAACAAAACAAACAGACTATGTAGAGACCCTACAGGGGTGGGGGCAGAGAGGGATCAGAAGGAGGGAAGAATGTGGGGGGGGCTACAGAGATGACTGGAGGGGGAGTGGGGAAGTAAACATTGTTCTAAAATGAACAATAATGTAAGTAGATACATGAAAAATAAATGATAGAAAAATTGGCTCACACGAATATTTGACAGGAGCTGTCTGAGAGATAATTCAATATTGAGGTTATTAGTACGTGCCTAGAGGACATACATCCTATGCCTTTGGAGATGAAATTATGGTAATTATCAAATGTCTTTAGGAAGGACACATTTCCTGAGGACTGTGAATACCTCCTCATTTTCAAAATGGTTGGACCAGACTGGACCAGAGAGCTAGGGCCAGAGCACTGTGGTCAATGGTGTGTTGATTCTGAACCCCAGGTCAACACTGTGGGGTTTTTTTGGCAAATTGTTTAATCCTTAAGTCTGTTGTTTTCATTTATAAAACAGTGGTAATTATAGCACCTATTTTATATAACTGGCAGGATTAAATTAATATAAATACGCCACCTCGTAAGTACTCAATTGGTATAAGTTGCTGTTTGTTTTGTCTCTGTTAGTATTGACATGTTTATGTTTACCACCCAACATCATCATGCTGGTAGGGACAGAACTAAGATATGAGAGTCCAGGGTTGCTGAGACTCCTAGACAGCTTCATCCCTGCATTCCTTGTATGGTGAAGCTAGCAGAGCCCTGGTGCTTCGAGGGGTCGACTATCAGGGACAAGAATGAATTGAGTGGTAGGACCAGTTCTGCTTATGGTCCCAACCCCTTATCCACAGGGGCTTCACTCTTCACCTGTCCAGTATGTTAGGCTTCCCAGGAGGGGGTCCTTTGATTAAAGGGTGGCACAGCTAAAATAAAAGCTTGAAATGATGATGCACAGGCCCCACAGAAAGACATTTTCTGTAACATTGAAATCGTTTTTATATTCTCTTCCTAACTTGAAGTAGAATGATGCCACATAGTACCACCAACATCACCAAATAGCACAGCCACATGCCCCCAATGTCAGCCATTGATGCAAGACCAACACAGATTCCTACTGAAATGGATACAGTTCCTTCAGTTATAATAATTACTAATCATACCACTAAATGACAAGGTTTTTCCTTTATGAATTTCTCCATAGTATGGTAGGCTACTGTTCACTTTCCGAAAGAGTACATTTAGGGCATGTGAAAATGTTTATGTAATTTAGCCTCTAATGCAAAAATGTGTCCCCTTCCTCTAATCAATGTAATCAGCACAAGCAACAAAGAGGGTTTTCTCTCTTGCCAGCCAGTCAGGAGTACAGACTACCAGAGGACAACCTCATGCCCAAGTCAAGGAGGGGGACTCCTGTCCAGGCACTCAGGGGCACTGGGAACAAAGGAAAAAAGGTCCCTATGCACAGAAATAAAAGATTATTAGATGGAACTCCTTTTAAGGTTGAATTCTTGCAACCTGAAT